CTCTCTCTCGTTCGCATTAAACACACACACACACACACACACACACGCACGCGCGCGCGTGCCCGCTCGGGCCCCTCTCGGTGTGTCTTCCTTCAAGATGACAGGGCGCTGGAGAAAAGGCTGCTGGAATCAGCTGGTAGGTACAGTAGTAACCCGAACCCCACCCACCCACTGCCTTTGCTTGCTCAGGTTTCTCCGGTCCTTCCTGCCGGGGGAGAAAACAAGTAAAGGCGCCTCCAGAGGAGGGGCTGGGGGGACCTGGGAGTGGCAGGGGCGGTGAAAGGTGAGAGAGGGAAGGTGGCCCGGTGCCCCTTCAGCCGGGGCTCCTCTCAGTGCTCCCTGGGGGTGTCAGCCTCAACCCTGTCTGCACCCACTCCACCCCCCTTTTCGAAGGGGTTGCTTTCCCCCCCCCTCCTCTGCGGCAGCGGAAATGACAGTGTGGTGTTGCTGTGGTGTCATGGTGCTGCCCCTGGACCGACGGGCGAAAACTCTTTAAGTTTAGCCCAGGAGACCCAGCCTGGGCAGCGTCGCGGTCGCTGTGCCATTCCCTGAGAGGCGCGCGGGCTGGCGGATCTCGGCTGTGGTGCGGCGGAGGCGCCGGAGGCGGCGGCGGCAGCACCGGGGAAGGCGGGCGGCGGCCTAGAGTGGCGGCGGCGGCAGCGAAGGAGGCCCGGGAGCTCGCGCGGGAGCCCTAGCCAGTTTGCTGCGGAGGAAGGAGAGCGTCGGGCGCTCTTGAACGCGCCTAGGAGATGGCTGGCACCCGGGAACGCTACGGGTAAAACGCGCCCCCTCGCTGCGGCCCTGGGGGTGGAGCGTCGCCTCCCCCGCTTAGGGCTCGGCCGGGCTCCGGCCTCTCTTCAGGTGCTGCCGGGGCCCGGGGCTGGTCGAGGGCTCTTGGGCTCGGTGAGAAGGGGTGATGGGGGCAGCTGCAGTGGCCCCGGCCCATCACCGGCTTCCCGTCCTGCCATTTGGGTGCGAGCTTCTCCTGCTGCCCTCCAGGGACTGAGTTTGCACTCCCTGGTGCCTGGCGGGGCGGGCCCGAGGCTTCTCGCGCAGCTGGGCCGGGCGGGAGGGACGCTGGCAGTAGAACGGCTCCCTTGGCGCCTGGGCGCGAGTCTGGGAAAGGGCACTGCCGCCTTCCCACGCTCCGCTGTCTGCAGTTTCCTTGGCCCGGGCGGCGTCCTTAGGTCGGTAGTCTCCCTAGCAGTGTTGGTGCAGCAGCCTGCGACGCTGCGGACACTCTGCCGGCGGGAGGCGGGAGGCCCGGCGAAACTTAATCCTTGCTCTGCTCCTGGAGCGATCCTCCAGTCTCCCTCTGGGTAGTTCCTTATTTCTGGCCTAGCTGTGAAACCAGCTCTGTGGGGAAAAGGGAAAACTTACATATGTCTACAGGACAGACTGCAACTAAGCCAGGGGAAGGTGGGGTTTTTCCATTTCTGGCTGGTAAGAATTAAGTAAATAATGGCGGAGTAGATTTACAGAAACATTACTGGTAATGATCCGGTTTAGGTTACTTAGCACTTCCTGGACTTGGAAGCATCTCTTCTCAGAGCAGGAAATAGGGATCGTGGTTGGTTGGGCTCTTCACTTTCTTCCACATTGCACTATGCTCCTTCATGATCACTCAGCTTATTCTTGCCTCATAACACCTATTTGCACACGCAGTCTCCCACTGGATCCCCTCTGCTGCCAACCTTTCCCCACCAACCTGTGTACCCCCAGCCATACAGCTTCTTGCTTCTCAATCAGATTGCCTTCTTGAGGATTTCTGTGTGTGGGGCGAGTGAATGGTGATGATTTTGTGTCTCTGAGGAGGCGCCCTCATGAAGGAAACATTGGGAACTGTAAATAGACAAGTACTATGTGGGGATTAATTTTTCTGATTCTCAATTTAGGCCACAAGGGCTGCCTTTAACCCCTTCTGTTCCCTCTCAGCACTCCAAACGGTTCTCTGGCAAAGTTCCGAAAGAAGGGGAGTTGCCAAATAGAGAGTACCACCCACCTGCTTTTCTTCTGTTTTGCTCTACCTCAGATGATCCCCCTCTATCCCTCTTTCTACCTTCTCACTGCCCTGAGGGAGAAAGTCTTTGCTAGTTTTGTATATTCCTGCCCAATTAGCTTAACTACAGATACATAATGTGAATTAGATTTCTCCTGATTGTTCCTCCCAATTTGATTTATGTGGTTGAAATATAGGTCTAGGAGCCAAGAAGATCAGAGAGTTCACCCCAAATCTGATGTTGCGTTGGCTTTATGGCCTTAGGACATTCTTACGACCTTTCTTTCATAGTTAGCCCACTTGTATAAAAGGCATAATATTGTGTACTGAATATTGTGAGCCTTGGCTTGGTCCTTTGAAGATGAAAGGGTTCTATAAACCCTTAGCATTATACTTTTCAAAGAAAGCACTTAATTTACCTTTTATTGGGTTAGTGGATTGACTGGGTGTAAATAGGAGCCCTAATTTACAGAAACCTTAATTTGCCATTATTAGTCCCCTGGGATTCAAATCTATCATTGTATATAGGTCCTAAGTCTGTTTTCACCTCCTCAATTCATGTACAAGAGAATGAAAATATACAAATAGGCATACAGAGTAATGGTGATGATTTTGAGCTGTGAATCATATCTAATATGCTTTCACCTAACAATCTGAGCCAGACTCATTTGAAAACATAACCTCACCCATTTTTAGTCTCTATGGAGGTAGTCAATTTCTAATAAAAATGGTACAAATAATTACAGACCTGGCCATATAAGCATGATTAGTATCTAGCAGCAGTGAGTCAACAATATTAAGCACCTATAATGTACAGAGTTCTTTGCTAACTGGACTGAGGCTCCAGACTTGGCCCAACATTTTGTCCCCTTGTTTATTCCAGGATAGAGTCCATACTTGCTGCTTCAGGATTAGGATGCAGGAGTGTTGTGTTGGGCAGCGTAGAAGTGAAAGACGTGAGGGGCTGATTGTGTCTCTCCTATTTACTTTCCTGATGACTAGTATTCTCATTTAGCATGTTGTACCTTGCAAGCCTGCCTTCAGGAAGTACTGTTGCAAATTAGAGTGACTTGGATGCTTCATCTGAACAGTGCAAATTGATTTAGATGAAATTGGTTTAGTTAATCCCTTTAAGAACAATTCAACTTGCTTCAACTTGCAGATCTTAAAGTAGTACCAGCGGAGTCTCATAATTGCATCCAAATATTGCTGTGGGTTGTGAGCTTGTCCATTCATTCATCCCTTCTCCCATAAAATCTGCTGACACCACAACTGAGAAGGAATTTACAGAAGGAGTATGTCTTTATCACTCAACAAACCTCATTGGCTTGCTGGAAAAGGAGAGAATGCTGTTTTTTCATTTTGTCCCTTAGAACTCAAGTTTCCTCTTATTCATTTAGGGCATAGAGCTCTAGAGAGGGTGAAGACAGGGCTGAAGACAGGCACAGAGTATATCTCAAATGGCTGTTCTTGAAGGTACCCACACGAACTCATGTGTGTCTGTCATTCAGACTTTATGGATCTTGATAAGTTCCTAGCTGTTAGGTCATTGGACTTGGCTACTAGAGCAGGCCCAAGTATTTGCCATTTCAATTTAGCATTACATTTTTTGTCCCCTCTTCTGTGCAAAAGATAAAATGAGGCTTTGTATTCATGAAGCACCTTCTTACTTAACTTGGGTGTTATGACCTGGATCATTGCATCATCAAAATATGAAATATAACATGTTCATACTGGATATACCACAGTTCAGGAGAGTTCAAAGCTATTCACTTTTTGATGGATGAAATTTTGATGCCAAGGCATTATTGCTTTAATGCCTATTTCGGATCTCTAAAAAATATTGTGCTCATCACTGAGCAGTATACAGAAGAGAACAGAAAAGTATTTGTCAACCAGTGTATTGGGTCACACTAGCCAGTGAGAAGATCAAATGTGTGGTACTGGGACAAGAAATTCCAACCCGTTCCCTCCCCACCCTGCCCCGCCCCAGCAGACTGCTAGTCCTTTTTAATTCTCATCTTCAAGAATTAGTATATGTTTATTTCTCACTTTTGTGTATTAAAACTTTGCTAAGAGTTTTCTGTGGGTTCTAGAGGTCTGTGGCTCTTTCTATCTGTTACGTTTTTGATCTTTTCCTTCTTCATAACCATGGGCAGATGGAATGTTTATGATGGTCTTCTAGATCCTTCATTTTCCCTTAAAAATCTTATAAACTGGTATAAAATGTTGTGAAGTATGGGTGGTGGAGGGATTTTGAGTAATGTGCCAGCATCTCACCATTTCCTTCTCCATGTTGGGTGAGTTCATCTGAATACACACAAGGATATTGGTTTAGCCTAAGTGGATTAGCAAAGCACCATTTGTAAGAGATAGTCCACTGGAGTTCATATCTCCCTGCAGCATTCTGACTGCCTGACCTTGTCTCCAGCCTCTTTCCTGCAGGTCAGACTCCTCTGGTTGATAAACAGCATCTCTAGTCTCTGGAACTTTATCTTACAGAGATACCAGATGATCTGATAACAACCCATTATATAATCTAAAACTCTCCTGCAATATATAATCCAGCATTTGTAAATTGCCTTGATAAAAGCATAATGTATAGCATGGCAGACATGCTGATTCAGGACAAACAAGTGTCTGAATATATACCAACAGAGAGATAGAAAAAAGGTTTACGGTTCAGAATTCTCAATCACTTTTTCTGTAGCCCTTTGTTCAGTGTTGCTAGGATTCATGTGGTTCCCAAGAGAGTTGAAGCTTGATTTCAAATAGGCCTCTGTTCTCTGTCCCTTGTTTCTGACCTGAACTTTGGGTTCTCTCAGTGTAACATTCAACAGCATGCCCTACATACGTATATGTTGCTGGTTTCACTCTGTAGAAGTAGAGATGACTGCCAGTCCAGGTGGACCACTGAACTTTTAAAAATTCACAAATATTTCATTGGGAAATAGATTGGGAAAAGCAGTTCTAGAATAGATGAAAAGCTGTACTTGAAGCAGTAGGTAAGTTTGTTCTTCATTTGTTCCTCAACCTTATGACTTTGCCAGAATAATCTGCATCAAGGTGACAGTGTTATGAATTGTGCTTGAATTCCTGTCAAGTAATATGTGTTACCTTGGCAAATCCATTTCTTGGTTACTTAGATTAATCTTTTGCATTTGTACCAGATTTAGGGCCTTTAGTTCTGCTATTTTGATACTCATTTCAATGTTTATGATGACTATATTCTATGAAATGCCCAGTAGTTAGATTTAGAGGCTAATTATTGAAAGGAAAGAATGATTAAATTCATGTGCTATAAAATATTAAGTAAGCTTTAATAATCTATTACACAGGAATTGGTTGTGGTAATCAGCCTTCAATCTTGAGTTCTCCCCGTGTATTTTGAAAGTTTAAGAGAACAAGAACTGAGATAGTTCTTCACTGGGGGGTGGGGGTGGGGGTGGGGGTGGGAATCCTAGCCTAAGGGGAAAGCCATATGAGCTTAAGAAACAACTCTTTGTGGAAGTGTGATTTAATTGCCCTCCATTATGTCAACCATGTGTTTGGGGGCAAATTTCCAAACATTTGCTGCATTTTAAGAAGCAATATACTCCATGTCTCTCATCTGTGAATGTTATTATGAAAATACTAATATTTGTAAAACAGGCTAATAATTTTATTTTATCTTCATCTGATCCTCACAAAAGCCTGTGAGATGTATAGGGCACATAGTTTTTATTCAATAGATGAAGAAGCTGTGGCCCAGAGAGTTTAAATGTCTTGCCTAGGAT